GATTTGCTCCCAGTATGAGTAGGGTTTACAGTTTAGAAGGTAATTGAAGGGTACAGGAGGAAGTAAGGCATTGCTGATTACGATATTCTTATATATTAAATAAAATATTAGAGTATTAATTTAGAGGCACGTGTGTTAAAGCAAATGTATAAAGAACTCTCTATTTAAGTAAACTTCATTCTTCCTGCTCCATCCTACTCACGTCTATATTAGATACGACAGACTCTTGATAACAGTCTTCCGTGTTAATTTAAAGTTTTTCCATATTGTAAAATTTGTGGTCGTTTACAACATTAACTCATCGTGGTCGTTAAATAAAGTCAAGGAAGAAAAATTACCAAAGATTCTTCTGTGATACTTGTCAGCATAGCAGAGCAGAATACCTTTTTTTATGTTAAAGGGGGCAGACGAGCAGACGGGTCACCTGATGGAAAGTGACCATCGCCGCCCATGAACGTCTGCAACTCAGGAGTCACAAACGCGTTGCCAGCCTTTTAGGAAGGAGTACACCCAAAGTTTGTCACTAGTTATTTTGTATCCTACACCAGTATTTGCATTATGCGCTTTGAATAAAAAAAGTTACTTAGTATAATTGCCGAAAAATGGAATTGCCGTTAATTACTCTTAAAAAAAATGAAACTGTTTACTATACTATTACAGAACCAGTCTTATAAGACGTGTCTAGATAATAAATACAAACTGCGAATCTATCAATCTATCAGAAATTCGGGAGGAGTCTTCGGAAATTTAAATTTGTGTTATGTGATTCACGATATTATGTAAAAATTCTACTATTTATGCACAGAGTTAATATAAGTTACTACAGTGCAATTGGTCAATAAGAAATAAAGGTACATATATTTCTATTATATCCACATCAGAAGTAGTAGAAAACATCTTTTTTTTTCGTGCGGAAATCCCCTCGGATACCACCTATCGGTGGCATGTCGGACTCGAACCGACTAAAACCGCACGCCATCTCGGGTACTAATAGTCGGGGAACCATGTATACCCTAGTGGAAAACACCTCGATCTAGCTTGTTTGACGTCCCAATACTGCCCAAAGTTTGTAGTATGTTAGTCAAAAACTAAATATTAGACAATAGACCTAACCCTTAAACTCTAGGGAGAAAGGTTCATTATGTACCTTATATTTTAATGTATATTATATGTGTTTTATAAAGGTACATTATGTACCTTTCTCCCTATAACTACATATAATAGAAAAATAAACAGTTACCAGTTTGTCACTAGCTATAATCAGAAAACCAACCACATTATCCTATATTTATTCTCGCTCTAAAATCTGGTAACCCATGCAGCCAGCAGCATTAAAATAGAAAAAGAATATGGTATAATAGATAGTATGGTCTGAAGCTTTGATAATATTTGACTTTTTCTATTAAGATACAAGCACGTCCTCAGGATAGTAGGTTTAAATGTAACTGAAAGTATCTGATGTTATAAATTCCTATAGAACTCATAAGCACAAACATACAAACACTGCCAGCAGCGATAATCGCTTATTCTTATTCCACACTCGCAGAGAAACTAATCGATTTCTCTCTGCTGTGTAAGTAAGTACAGTAAGTTTCTTCCCAATTTAGTTTGCATGCTGGTGTTTAAAACTACTACTTTCAAGTGTTCTGCATTTTCAAATATACAGGCTCTAAACACGTATAACAGTTAATCTATCATTACGATTAATACCTAAAAAAAATCATTTTTCAATTATTCTGAAACTCTATATGGTAAACATAATTCAGCTACGTTTGTACCTAAATTATCAAAAAAGAGCGATACTTTAGTGTCTTTTAAAAATATCGCGTAGGTTTTCAAATATTTCGTATCATATGGCTATGTATACAGCTTTACCTACTGCCTGGTTAATAATTTACACTAATGTAGCCTATTGCAGTTTGCCTCTCCAGGTTTGTGACGCACGTTGTTTAAATAACGAATTACTAAAATCCTTTAATAATGCTCTGATTTACACCTTTTTTTGAACCCGTACTAAGTCAAATTAATTAAAACGGATTTGTAACTAAATAAACTGAAATGTGGTAAATTCTAAATAATTTTATATATAACTGTCAGTTCTAAATAATTTTATAAATAACTGAGACTACTTTTCTCCGTGATTCGAATACGCTGTTGTCAAAATATATTTAGGTCTTTCTTATTCTTAGCCTTACTTCAATATAAATTACTTAATAAGTAGGTAGTTATTTTCTAATACAAAATTTTCTCTATTTTTTCAAGAATGGTACGCCGTTGACTTAAGGGAAACCCTTTATATTCTTTGCGTAGACAATTTTATTTACACAATTAGCAATAACAATGGCACAACTGTTTCATATAAATACTGGTAATATCCAGCAATAAAGTTATATGTAAAATTTTGAAATAGAAAGAATTTATAGCTGTTTCGCTGTCCACGGTCACTCAGACAAAAATATAAAATAAGTAGCATAGCATCATTGTGCAACCTGCAAACCTGCAAATAAACCTTATAAAAATGTAACCCATTTCAACCCCAAAAATACAGTCAATACGAATCTGAAATCCTAATTCTGATTTCGACTTATGCTGCCTATATGAACACCGGTGACATCAGAGAACAAAATTATACAACACAAGATATGCCCAAAAAGCGACTAAGCACGATGTTGGACGTATACATATTGAATGTACTTTTGGAGTTAAAATATGTAGGTTATATTTTTGTAAATTCATGCTTATATGCAATAATACTCGTAGTCATAGAAAAGTGTTAGAATGTTGAACTTAAAGATAATAAATTTAAAAAAACCGGTCAGGTACGAATCGAGCTCGTGCGCCGAGGGTTCCGTACCTACCCAGATTTTACGTAGATTTTCGTAGCTAAATTTTGGTACTTACAAGTTTTCGCGAAAATCGAAATTTGCCCATATTTTTTTGTTGTGTTGGCTCAGGACCTTGATTTTTATACACCTAATAGGGACCATAGACCTCAGTATCTGGTTCCTGAGAAAATCGGTTTTGACACACGGACAGACGGACAAGAAAGTGATCTTACGGTACGGAACCCTAATTATATCAGTGCGACGGCCAACAGATATTCTCGGGTCCTTACCTTTTACTTCAAACCTCCAAATACCTATATGAGCGACAGTTATTAATATGTGTACACTATTATTATCTATGTTGTGCTATTGCCTGGCTTACCCTAGCTACAAAGTATACGGGAGGAGAAAATCGGTATAAAATACTTCCTCGCCAGAAATCGAGACCTGTTTACGGTCAAAACTAAATAAACCTGTGGTGACGGATTAAGAATACGGAGTGTTACCACCCCTACTCATTCCGTAGGTGTCGTAAGAGACGACTAAAGGACCAAACTACGTAGGACAACAGCACTGCAAAGAGAAGGAAATCTTAAAACAAACCGCTTATCAACCCGTCTGGCCAGAGTGGCATAGTACGCCAAAACCTTCTTTCTAAGGAGAGGCTTATGTCCAGCAGTCGATTATTAAAGGCTGTTGATGTAATGATGTGTGATAACTAAATATCTACTTACTTAATATTCCTTGTCACAAATTGTTTAAATCAAAGTATCAATTTTTGATCTCGAGTTACCAACTACGAAGAATAATTTCGACAGTACATAGTATTGTTTTTCTTGTTGGTTCCATTCATGTGCAAAGAGTATTCTCGTAACTACTTAAATGTTGTCTATTTAACAAAAGAAGAAAGTTACCCGTTTCCTGTCCTGTATTCCAAGGAAATTGTATCAATCATTACTAACAAACATATTAACATTAGTAGTGAATCATGACTCTGACGCTGTTAACGACATACCTATAGGCGCAGAGCAGAAAAAATTACAGCAGCAATGGCTGATGTTGTATCAATGCAGTATCAATCACTATTTACAAGAAAAAAAATATATACAAATTCATACCACACAGCCAAAAAAATGTTATTGGTAAGTATTTATAATATAGAATATAATTAAAAATATTTTATCATCACACATTCTTTTTAAATATTAAATATAAATTCTTGAATGCACCATTATAATTGATAAAATAAGTATGTCCGAGAACTTTATTTGCATATATATCTATGTATATTAGTAGGAACCTGAATAATATAAAAATATCGTCGGAATTACAGATAAGAATTGTCAACGTTCTAATACCACGTGCGTTTATTTTATCACTAGCAATAGTTTTGTTAACTATGAGAAAATGTCCTTCAAGGTAATCCGGTTTGAGATCTTTTTGCGTTTCTGTTAGCGAAAATGATCACAAAAACTATATAAGAAATGAGAAAACAGTACAACATACAAGTTATAAGTAATAGTTTACGAATACCGGGCCCCATTAAAAATGGGGCGAACTATGTGTGTATGTGTATGTAACTGTGTGTAAGAAAACTAAGTGGTAAAATAATTCAGGAAAAAACATTTTATTATGTATAGGATATGATAGAAAGCTATCTCTAAACGAAAGATCTTTTAGGTCACTAGTATATTTGGTACGTACGTTTATTTAGTATTGACCTAGGTCTTTAGGATGTAGCTAAACGAATGCAAATCATAGACCATCTTAACCACTGAAAAAATTAGGCTTATCATAGTAAATACTCAGCATCTGCCCATGAAATGCTCGTGACGGCATTATTTATAACAATGTGCCACGGTACCTGCAATTTCAGTGAAGTCAATAGTTTAGACTTTACGCCGCTGCCTGGCATATTTCTATTTCTATTTATTCTTTATTGTACACACTGAACACATACATATATATAAGTAACAAGGAAAAGTCATGTACAAAGGCGAGATAAAATTCAAAATTCTTAAAAGTTTTTCCTGAAAAAACAGTTTCTCTAAAAAACAACGCACAATACCATTCTAAGCACACCGTAAGTTATTAATCATCAAAGATAATGACTCAGAAATATACTTAGATATATGTACGTGGTAAAAATCCTTTAAGCGAAAGAATTAGACTTACATCATCCGGCGGAAAGTCGTAACATTCAGCAATTTTTTGGTACAGCTCCTTTACATTGGAAAATCCAGAGATGAGACCCAAGGGACTTCCGTGTGCTTGTTGACAGTGAAACACTAACTGCGATTTCTGTCCATTGTTGTTATCCACTCCATTTGACTGCGTATGAGTGTCCTCCACGGGAGGCTGTGGCACTGGAGGCGGTGCATATTTAGGCGCCTTCTTCTTAAATAACGACATAGTAAAAGAGCACTGCTTAACGGTAATAAGTTTTCCTTTAACGCAAACGTCAGTGCGCACACATTCTCTAACCGTGCACTATAAAATTTTAATCACTACACTCTTATCTTGAGAGACCTTTAAAATATATAGTCGCGTCATACATAGCACATGATAACTTATCGTCCAATAGCGATATCGGGTAAGATTATGCGATGTTTAATCGGGAGCAAACACAGAACGCGCTGCGGCATTGAGTGCGCACTGGCGACAAACAAACGACTGACTGGGTTTCCGCTGCCTGCTCAACGCTGTGACGGGCTGACGGACGGCTACAGAAACTCAGTGCACGCCCGCGGCTAGTATTGTGTAGTGTGTCGGCAAATACGACATTATACGTCATCAGAATCATCTAATACGGTTGCGACAAGTCCGTCGTTAACTTAAATAAGCTGGGAAAACAGAGTACTACTTACTAATATTAATTGTTTTAATGATTATGTATGTCAAGATTTATATAGATTTAAATAAGAACAAATCATAATTGAAGGGAAATGTAGACATAATTTAGTTATGTTGAAGAGACATTGACGTTTGAAAATAATAATTGAACAATAACAGAGATCTTCACTTCTCACCTACTCTTATGCCCTAAGCACTTTTCTCTTGTTCATTCTTCCTTTGATTTCCAGATGCTGGAAGTATGAAAAAAAATATTGAAAAATTGTAGAACATATTAACTTTTAGATTTCAAAGTTAGTTTTAAAATATTTGCAGTTAAAGAATATTCTTTGTATGATCATGAGAGAAGGTATACTATTCTCTTCTTTAGTAAAGTATTAAACATCTAACGTTGACTGTAATTTGATTATATCGCATTGTGACCTTTTGTGACATTTTTATGTTAGATAGAGTAGGTAGAATTTGAACGACATTTTAAAAAGAGAATTGACCTTCTGAACATATAAATCTATACAAGCAATTAGTGAAACAATAAGCTATCTGCTCCTCCAACAAACCATCCTTAACTTGTAACTTGTACTACGAGTTACTTGTTACAGTTACTTAGAATATTATTCTTTTACAAGTACCCGTGACAAGCAAATAGAAAAATAGAGAGTAGAGCTCAGTTGCTGTTTTAACCCAGCAAGAAAAGCGAATGTACCGACAATGATATATAAACCAATGTCATTATATATTTCGATACGACCTTCGAGAAAAGAGCGTACGTTTGTTGTGTTGTTTGTTGTGCAAAGTGACTCCTGAGTTGCAAGCGTTCTTGGGCGTCGGTAGTCACTTTCCATCAGGTGACCCGTATGCTCGTTTGCTCCCTATATAATACAAAAACAACTTAATTTCAAATCTACTTTGGTACCTACCAATCCAAATTATATTTTGGTTTATGTTCTAACCCTTATTTCCTATTCAACGTCCTTTTGCAAGTCAAAACGACGACGAGACAAACAAAACAATATTGGAGCTATTAGTTGTGTACTGGATATTTACTGTAATTATGTGTTCTGTTACAATTGCAATGTAAAAGTGGCACCTGAATGAGGCATTTGCACTTAGGTTTTTGTCTTGATGTTTTGAAGAATAATAATAAAATATATATTATTAGAATTTTCGATAGGTTTGCGGCTAAGTGGGAACCGATTAGGTTAGCACATTGCAAAGTTAATGAAACCTAGCTAAGTCAGTCTATGGATGAGTGACACATTGAGATCCCGCCGTTCCGTAAAGTAGTCGGTCCCGGTTGCCATTGGGTTTTGGATTGGATCATCTGTGGCAATCTTTACGGGTAGGTGCAGTCCTAAATAGTCCGACAACACTCTGTCTACAGAACTTCGATATCGTATCGTATATTACTTGGGTTGTGGTCTGATGGCAGTCGCTCCACGTAAAACATCGAAGTTCAGCCTTGTCGTAGAAAACTGAAAGTCGACCCCAACCTAGTTTGAGAAAAGACTCATAGGATGATAGTATAGTATTAGACTTTTTATTATTCGTCATTAGATACCGGACTTTCTGTAAACAAGGTAGGTGTAACTAACTTATACCTTACTCATAGTCTTTGATCATATTAGGTATATGTTAACAGAAGAACAAGAAAAGTTTAGTTTAGTCTTGTTAATGTGGTTGTGTTGTAATTCTACTTAAAAGTTAATACCTACCTGACTTTTCTTTTCGTTTACCGTGTAAGTGTCTGTTTTCAACCGTGTTGCAGCCCTTCGCGCTTTAAAGTATCATTATTAGACTTGGAAATTATTGCTACTTCTAAATCATAATCTTATGATGAAATGAATGGCTTTAGTAACAGTGATTTCACCTGTGTAAGTAATTAGGTCATATAAAAAGATAAATGTGATGAAAACCAATCAAAATTTTTTTTAGATTTAGACCTTTCGCAAGCCTGGCGCTAGCGTTATAATAGTTTTATAAATTAGTCACGGGTGAGATATATGATTTAAACTTCATACGATTTATCACAGGTGATTGTAAATTTATTCCATCCCTAATCATTATCATTGATTCAAGTACTTGTTGCCACTTCTAAATAGTACGGTGACCGCTTACAATTAAGAAAACCGTATCTTTATCTGCTCGCCATAGCTTATAGTACTTTTGTCATTAAAAAGAAACTAGTTAGGTCATAAAGATATTTTATGACAAAATCTCAGTAGTCCAATAAATAATCCGTACGCCATAGATACGTGTCTTATTTTTCAATTAAATAACCAAGAAACAAAACTAAAAATTTAAAAAAAAAGGTGGTAGGTAAAACCTACCTACCACCTTTTTTAAATAATTTTTAGTTTAAAAATTATTTAATTACCTAAGTATGAAAACACCTCAATACGTTCCAACACTTTGAATAAGACCTCTAAAGACTTACTTTAAACGTTATTTTATAGTTAGTAACTGCCTTCAAATGTATGTGAATTTTCGTTAGTATACTGTAACTAAAAAGTTATGATGAAATGTAGCTCTCCACGTTCGAGATCACAATGTGCGCGGCGTTTTTTGGCCACCAATAAACTTGTGTGTGGATATATAAACTGAATGTTGTATCAATGATTACTTACTAGGTTTAAGTGTAAAATTTCAACGTACACACAATAATTAACGAAATAATTAAATAATAGTTTGCCCATGTTTAGGTGGTTATAAAAAATCGATCGCCCAGTACATTATACTGTCTTCTAAAATATGTAGGATATTATTTGCAAGTTTAGTTCAGATATGTGCACAAGTGTTACAAAAAACTAAATGTTTCTTAAAGAATTGTTACAGGTAAAAAATAATCACTTTAATAAATTTTTAAATTATTAATTAAACTCAGGTCCTCAGATTGGAGAAGTTAGTCGCAAACTATTTGCAGCGGCGGGATCTCTGCGAAGGCTACGCAACTTCCTTCCTACCAATACCAAAATTGCGCTCGCACAATCTCTTCTTCTTCCCATCCTTGACTATGGCGATGTCAGCTACCTGGATCTCACCGAAGACCAACTGAATAAACTTGAGCGACTCCAAAACCTCTGTATTAGATTCATATTTGGTTTACGCAAGTATGATCACATCTCAGAGTATCGTTCCAAACTCAAGTGGCTACCAATACGCCTTCGCCGGAATCTCCATATTCTTTCTCTTTTATACAGTATTCTGTTTCATCCTCACACACCCTCTTATCTCAAAAAACGTTTTGAGTTCCTACACACCACACATTGCAGGGACCTGAGGTCATCGGAGAATTTAAAACTAAAAATGCCAAAACATTCCACCCAGTTTGCAGATAAATCTTTCACTGTGCAAGCAGTAAGACTCTGGAACAACTTGCCTGAAACAATCCGACAAGCTAAAACTTTGCCTGTTTTTAAAAAAATATTAAAAGATTTTTATCTGTCATTATAAATACTGTTCTGATTCCCTATTTAATATATTATATATTCCAAATATGTATGGGTATATGTGTATGTAGGTATGTGTATTTGTATATGTGTAATGTCCATAGATGTATATTTGTGTATGAATGTGTTTGTTTATGTTTGTAAATATTTTTAAATATTCACGTGATATTGTGTTACGTGTATGTATACTAAGCTAAATTGTTAAATACCTAAAATCCATGATAAGGTTGTCTGGAAGAGATCGCTGTGAGCGATAAGACCGCCGATTGTTACTTTTACCTATTTGTAACTCATCTTTTGTTTTGTTTTTTTTTCTATTAGTGTATACAATAAAGATATAATAAATATACCTAATAAATATAAACTTAAAAACAATCACAGATAAACATTACAAACAGTAATTATGTTTTTATGACCTTTTAAAATAAATGATTTCAGTTTACACTTTTTGTTCAAAAATAATTGGAAATGGAATAATAATGTATTGTTTTCTTTTTTTTTAATATTTAAAAGATGACAATGGTTACTGTGGGTTATTCTTAGGAGATAGAAATATACCATTGCGAACTTTTTCAGAAGAACATGTTGGGCAAATGGCACAGCATGTTCTAAAATCTCCCTGATATACCGATCAGCAGTCAGATTCCCGCCGTCTACTACCACCAACTCCGTGCGAGCTCCTAAACATAGGTATCCCTCCTCAGACCATAATTGAGCCACCGCCATATGCCACTGTATTTTCAAAATTATACTGGATATAATGCTCTCCTTTGCGTCTCCATACTCGCTGCCTTCGATCAATCTGATTTAAAAGAATTCTGCATTCATTAGTGAAGAGATCCTGTCCCCACTCGTCGAAGTCCCATGTTCACGAGGAAAGTATAGTCGGTTTGTGCGGTGGTCTCTCAAGTTTAGGTGCTTTGGCGGGCACAAATGAGCCTATACCACCTTTCTGAATCTTCTGCGAACTGTCCGCTCATTCACTCTTACTCCTTGAACCAATACATTTAGGGCCTGTACCGCGGTTAGTCTCATGTTCCGACGAAATTGAAGTTGTCGAAAGTTGTCATCTCTTCTTGAAGTACACCTTTTCCTGCCTTGTCCTCTCCTCTTCACTAGAAAATTCGTCAATCTGTACCGTTGGATGCTACGATGAATCGTTGATAACGATCGACGAAGTCTTGTAGCAATCGATCTGTAGGATTGACCATTTCATCTGCCCTAATGATGTCTAATAGCGTTAAATCAGACTTACTTAAATCAGTTACGAGCATCTGCTCGTAACTTATCAATATGCGAGACAACACAAAAGCTTCAATACTGCAATACAATGTTTTTCAAATGAAATTTATTGAGATGTATTAGGCGAAGCGCATGTTGCGCGCTACTATAATAGTAATTTGTTTAGTTTGTAATAATTTCCCTCTGTGTAAGTAATATACCAATTAAATATACAGTCCACTTGCTCATTTTATAATAATCTGCGATACAAACATCTACATCGCCTACAAAAAGCTATGCTTATAACATTATTGATATTTAAGTATATTATCTCTGCTTTAAGATGATGTAAGGGTAGGTTGTTTTTTATAACGTATTGTAGTATATTTCAATCAATGAATGCATAATGTAGGTATTGTAAGTATATAAGTATCATTATATCCTTACAATACCTACATTATGCATTTTTACACTAAGTTAGTTTTTTTAAATAACTAAGTTACAGAAGCGGGCAAATAATTATCTAAACCATTTAAATTATGTACCATTCTCGACATTATTTTGGTGGGAACAAATGACCGTGCTCATTACAATTCCCACCCAAAGGTGGGAATCGAACACACGACCACCGGCTTAGCAGTCAGGGTCACTAACCACTAGACCAACAGGCCTATCGTCGTTTATGTTTGAACATTATTATCCTATTACTTACGGTACAACCTATGTATAAATAAATATTTAGAAATAAAAGGCAAGAAGTGGGTCACATTTAACAGTCAAAGGTTGACACTAGTTTTCTTTTTTTTACCCATCATATTAAATGTTGTTTTTCTACTAAATGATATTTGTTACAAGTTGGAATTAATAAATTGTTGTTTAGAAAAACAGATTACATTTTTCTTTGTTTGTTTTGTTTACATACATACGTTCTTTGCTGAGCAATGGCGACGCGACGATTTAACGGTATAACTAGTAGATACTGATAGATAGGATACTGGTAGATTTAATGTATTTACAATAGTTGAGCTTTAAAAATATAGAGCCACACTACTTTTACGATGTATGACATTTGATATTACAAAACAAAATGGGGGCATAAAGGCTCATAGTTTAGTAAAAAAAAATTTTTTTCTTCAAAATAAAATAGCAAAACTTGTTTTTAAGGATTTATTTAAGCAGTAATCTACGACGAAGCCACAGCTTTTTTAGGGGTGGGTTTACCCTCCTTGAAGCCATTGCGGAAACGCCTTCTTACGATTTTCAAGTGACGCATGCGGCCAGTTCCAGTGGTCTTCCTGCGTTTGGCTTTCACTGACCAGTGATCTGAAATTTTTAATTTTTTTTTGTTATGCTATCCATGTTATTCAAACTGTCTGCTTTGCATGCAAAATTTGAAAAAAAAGTAGATTATTTGACACATTTTTATACAAGTTTTCATTTACTTGCATTTTGCACATCATTTTAGTTATTTCACACTTATCACAACTGGAGGTAGGATAACACTATAAAATGTTCACATCCATTCTCATTCATTCAACTACTGATATTCGGGCGCTTTAGCCAAAAGCTGTCTCATCAATTTTACTAATATATAAGGTTAGTCCTCAGCCTCTAAGGGTAGAAAAATAAGTGAACAAAAATACAGCCTATTACAATTTACCATAGTTAAGGCAATTTGAAATCGGTGAAAATTTTTAAAAATCTAATTCATCAACATCAACAATAGTACACAATGTATGGAATTACATAAATTATATTATGTTTGAAGGGTATAATAGTAGTCTGCATAAGTAATTGTATTAATATTTTTGCAAACAATTATAATTCTTTGCAAAAATATTTAGATATTTCTTGTATGCCCTAATCTCTGATTACTATTTGTACAGATGCTTTTGAGTTAATGTCATTTCATGGTTGTAACAATATATCGCACCTTTAAAGACAAACCGTTACTAAACGAAATTTTTGGAGAATTGAGTTATTAATACCATCTTTCTTAAAACTATGTAAACTATACGATGAGTTTGACACTGTTCAAAAAAATCCAATTTTAGACATAGATGGTGTCGGTTTTGACCGTTACAAAACTAAATAAGATTTGCTTGCTAAATGCAATATCGTGTCTATACTAATTGTGAATTATTCGTTAAAGAGTGATGACGGAAGTTTAGTGACAACTTGCTGTGGTTTAAAACTAGATACTGAATAAAGGCTGATTATTAAGACATCCTAGCAATGCTAAAGATTTAAGTGCCATAATGTCAAAGAAATGTATGGATCTCGCGTTTTAAATGAGAATAAAACATTGATTAGAATGTGATATTTTATTTATCTGTCCAGTTACAATTTGAGTGAATGCTAATTATAATATTTTCAATTTAGTTGTATTGTAAAATCATTATTATAATGGGTTTTCAAGTATTTTTATATTTTGTTACATAATTTATATGGGGATTTTACAATAATTAATCATAATTGAAAAAAAAATAATGGAAAAGTGTTACTATAAAAATTTAAAATCGTAATTAACAATGTTCTATTAAAAAAAAATAGCTTTTCTGAATTTAATGTTATAGTGTAAATAAATATCCATCATTATGACCATAAAGAATGGCTCAAACCACCATGATCTTAAATGCTATTGCAAAAAGGTCCTGCATTTTTCTTATTTTAGCTCCTGTGTAAAATTGTATATTTTCGTTTAGAAACGGTTTGTCTTTAAAGGTGCGATATGTTCCTGAATTAAATACAATTTGAAGATGTAGTTTAAGAACTAATAGCAAGATATCATACCTGCATTTTGTCATACTCAATCATGAAAATTTATAGGTTAGAATTTAGCAGACATGGGTGACATAGTGACATGGGTGGTATCACTGGTCCATAACTATGAGCGTTATGGACCAGTGATAACACACAATGACACCACCAGCAGTGTCAAGGGTTTTTTTAATCCCCATGACACTACCGGTAGTGTGAAGGGTATTATTCAATCCCCATGACACCACCGCTATTGTCAAAGTTATTATTCTTTTACATAATGACACCATTGAGTAACTAACAGAAATAAAGATAGAGAAAGATATTTATTTAATTTTTAAATAAAATAAAAGTCAGCCGAGCCTCATTAAGAAAATTTTCAATTTGGATTAAATAAACACAAAGATAAACATAATTCAGAAATAAACACAAATGCAGTTAATTAACAATGAGATCAGCATAGGGCATGCATTAGATAAACTTAGATTTCAAAATGATTAATATTACATAATGATAAATTGTAAGGATAATACTAATAGTACATAGCATTTTAAGACCTCAGCTGATCTCATTGTTAATGAACTGCATTTGAACTTGCAAATGAAGTCGCCATTGTCTATTAAATTCTTAATTCTTTTCACAGGTTTCTTCAAATCATGAATGTCTGACAAAACATTCAGTAAACGTTGAATTATGTTTATGTCTTTATTTAATCTAAAATGAAAATTTTCTTTCCTCCAAATGAGGCTCAGCTGACTTTTATTATATTTAATAAATATCTTAATCTATCTTTGTTAGTTACTCTAGTCTCTAGTCTGTTAGTTACTCGGTGGTGTCATTATATAAAAGAATAATAACTTTGCCAATACCGGTGGTTTCATGGAGACTGAATAATACCCTTGTCAATACCGGTGGTGTCATGGGGTTTAAAAATACCCTTGACACTACCGGTGGTGTGATCAAGGGTCCGTAACGACACTCATCTTAGATCAAAGAAAACACATACTGCATTTAAAATCCCAATTAGTTGAGATACAAACTGCATGAGTAATATTCTAATTGGTGGCCTGTTCGTCTAGCGATGATCATGACTAAGCCAGAAATAGTGAGTTCAATTCCCACCTAGGGCTAATAATTGTGCAAAGAGCATGATCATTTGTACTTCATATGGGTGTAGCTTAGGTATGGTATGTGTGTATTTAGTGATGATAAGTATGTTAGTAAAGGCTGTTGATGATGATGAAGTATGTTTATCAGCAGTCTGGTTCCCAAAGTACAGACTCTTCCTAGTTTGGGATCAGATAGCTGTGTGTGAGATTCACATCACATCATCATCAACAGCCTTTAATAGTCCACTGCTGGACATAGGCCTCTCCTTGGCAAGGAGGTTTTGGGCCTACTATACCACGCTGGCCAGATGGGTTAGTATAGGGTTTGTGTCAAGTTATCCTTCTCTCTGCAGTGCTGTTGGCTTGCCTCCCTTAGGCAGCTCTTACGACACCCATGGGATGAATCGGGGTGGTGACACTCTGTATTCTTAATCTGTCACCACTCAATGGGTGAGATTATTATAATAATTTCTATACAATAGATTATCACTTAAAGGTCCTAGCAGATTAAAATGACTCCGCTCCCACCAAACCATGAGCATTTAAATATGGACTTAACATTGTGCTCTGTAGACGCATTTTACAGTAACAACAAAAAAGCAGACAGCCCATGGTAAGCTTGCTACTACTGTTAATTAATCTAATGTACACATTAATTAATCTAATGATTAAACAATTTTTTTTTTTAATTTACCATATCATTATAGGTCAACACATATCTGCTGGAAATGCATAACTTTTCAAAACAGTTTTTACCTAATTTAAAGAACTTGCTGTACCCAAAACTATTGTTTTTCAATTCTTCTACATACAAACTTTAAATAATTCATATTTTACATTTGTCTGTGTGCAAACATTGATTAATTAGCAACATGTTGTTGTTATACTTTGATAACGCAAAAAATAGTAAAACCCACAGTAGAAACCGGAGAAATGTAACCAAAAAACCGGTCTACCATTAAAAAGATAGTCTGGTTAAATGACACATGACCTGCACTAAAACTATATCAACTTAACTTTATTTTGATCGCTTGGTTAACTATGATTTTCCGTTGTTTATACAGAGAAACGTTAGAACGTTACTTGTTTGTTAAAGGATAATTGTTTAAATCCGTACATAAAATCAAAAGTACTTACAGGAGCGCAGCTTAGCGGCAGGGTATCCGCACTGTGCACATTTTGATTTCTGGATGTGGTAGGATGATCTACCACACCTTCGACAGAGGGTGTGAGTCTTATTACGACGCTTACCAAAGCTCGACGTTCCCTTCGTCTGAAATAAACATTATAGGTTATGTCTATAAAATCCGTAAATTCCACTAATAATAATATAATCTATCGTAAGTAGCTATAACACAATGTAGGACGATAATTTCTAATGGAAACGTTGAAAATATATCAAGATTATTAAAGATTTAAAATATAAAAGCAATACACTACCATCTTGTCACTATTTGACAAGCCAAGAGAAAACAAATTTAGGAGAAACTATTGACAATGACAGCAGAGTCGAGGGTTGCCAGGATGTTTAGAGATACATGTTAATTACACAATAAAGTATAAAGACGAATTTGATTTTTTGCTGACACTCGGATCGAATTTGAATCGATCAGTTTTTAAAAGCTGGTCTGCTTTTCCGTATTTGAATTCAAAATATTTGTCTGTTTAAGTCAAATACGGAAACCAAATGTGACTTCGAGCAAAAGGAACAATAAAAAACAATACCTTAGAATCATTTGTAAAAGATTTTACTTAACGTTAATTTATTAAGCTTGATGTATTTAGTATTCAACCATTTGTGCATCGTAGAAATTCAAAAGATTTATTGAACATTTACAAAGTGAAATTAAGATTTTGATTTTAATTATTGATTATTATATGAATCATTAAAATCAAAATCTTAATGTTTATTCTTAATCTTATTTTTAATTAACTTTGAGACTTTTAACTTTCTGAGTTTGATTGTACAGTTTACCTTAGATGAAATGCTATAACTGATAGTTATTCAATAAAGATATAGCCATCGATAGTTAACACTGATAATGTGGCTGAAAATAATAATAATACTAGAAAAAAATTACAATAACACGCGATACTTTTCATGAGAACCTAACTTTAAAGTCGGAGTCGGTCTATTATCAATCATACCAGACTCCCAGATCAGTTATCTTAAGTAGGTTAACTTGCACAGGTAAAACGACATTACTGATTTTAATATAATATATTAACAGAAAGAATGCATGTCTAGGGTATATTATCTAAAAAAAATACATTGAAGATGAATGATTCATCTCATTCCCAACTCGAACTTATACGATTAAGGTCAAGTCATAACATGACACTGATTTGTAAGTAAACTCACCTTACTACTGAGTCGACTGTGTTATAAATTTATTCCTAATCAGTGGTATTGGTATAAAATACGTACCTAACTCACACATAGAAGTACTAACTATTCTTCTACTTCTATTCTCAATCTTACAAATCTTCGTGTTCATGCTAGCAACACTGATTGTCATCATAGCTTAAGGATATTATTATAATCTATATAAATAAATAAAATTGAAGTGTCTGTCTGTAATATCAAAACAATAAGTTTTTTTAATGCTCACGCGTTTATTTGCATGATACCTATGCCTAAAAACCAGTTTAATTATTTTTTGTCTGTCTGTCTGTTTGTTCTGATAATATTTTACTACCAGGTAGCTGTGTATATTCCTCTCAGAAAAACACTATCAAATTTTGCCCGGAACGGGAATCGAACCCGAGGCCTCATGAACTGCAGTCGCATACAGTACTATTAAGGCAGCGCTTTTCAAATTCCACGCAAACAAAGTCGCAGGTACCAGCTATTTAAAAATATAACACTTACTTACAAGATATTGAGAAAAATACTACATTATAGGAATCTGTGGAACGTACCAACTTACAATCTTACACAGGTTATATTATTAAATTGTACAATATAATAATCTGTAGTGTGGGCCCGACTGTCATGTCGCCCCAATTATTTGTAGGGATGCAACATCGCTCATAAAAAACATCGATATAAGAACAATGAAATTTTTCAAAGTGAATCATCGATGTCAAAAACATCGAACTTTACGAACGATACATCGATTTTTTTTCCCCTGTTTAAATATATAATAAATATTTATTTTTAACAGAAATGAAACAAATTAATATTAAAATCTAATATTATATTTAAAGTCGTTTAGGAAGGTTTACATTATTTATTTTTACAATTTTATTGAATAACTATTAATTTTTAACAGAAAACAAGTATCAATGAAACACATTTTTAGTTTTGTCAACCTGGTTTCCAGTAAGCGGTTTCTTTTCAGAGTGATTGTAGAACCAGCTTCTGAGAATAACCGCTCACCGTTGCCACGTCAGGCACATAGATCATGACTAGACTATAAAGCCCGGGCAATACCCCTTCATGTCGTCCCACATCTCCAATGCATGTCCCTTTATAGGAGTTGTCACTTCCAACAACAACTAACTTAGAAATAAAACCTATAAATAAATGTTTACCTTTTTAAGCTCACTTTTAAAATAAAACAATGAAATAAAGTCTAATCAAATAATTGAAACAAGAGGTAGGTGACGTTCGGAATACACAGTTGAATTTTGAGTCATCTATCACAGTTAACTATAACTTTGGTTCACTTCTTCACACACAACAAATAAAATTATAACCCTTGATACAGCCGATTGAAGCAATTGTTTTGTTTCGTTTATCGCGCGTTCGTTAAATAGAAAAGTCTATGCTTGTGAAAGTTGTGATTGTGACTAAGAGAGGTATCGTTCATAAAACATCGCTCATGAATAACGATGTATCTTCGAAATTTTGGGTTTCAAAATCGATTTTAAAACAATGATGTTTGTGAACGATATATTGATGTTTGAAGAAAATCGATGTATCGCTCGCATCACTAATTATATGTGTAATATGGTAGGAAGAGCATTAAGTGTAATTTCTTAAAAAACTTCGAGTTACTGGACTCCTACGCATTTGATCTCTCCGGTGTGTATAACAACTGGAGTTCTTTATACTATTGTTTATCATCATATAAGGTATCAGTCAATTGTTTTTTTGCACATACCGGTTTTAATTGAAAGCTTTATTTTCAATTTAGTTCATTAATTTAATTGATCATATTACATGACTATTTGCCTGCATTCTAAACTTTTTGCCGTGATAATAATTAAACTTGATTCGTACTACTATTTTTTTTTTGTTTCGAAAATTTTTAGATATCTGTGAATATGGAACTACTTGATGTTATGAAAAATCTTACAATAAGACAAATACCTAATGAAAGTGAACAACAGTTGTTTAAGTCTATTGCTGCAGATATAGATGATGTTCCAACTGAAATAGTCCTCATAGAGTATACAGACAAAACATTACTTATTGTATCACAGTATCAGAAGATTGGAAGCATGTTAATGATACAAAAAGACCAAGTTCAGAGTCCTTTAGGTACTAATGATATTTATTCAACAAAAGTTATTTTTGGTGCTTCAGGAGAAGAGCAGCAAGTTGCAGCGAGATACTTAGCAGAAGCAATTAGTATAACAAAACCACTTTGCATTTTTATAAATCTTAAATCATATGACATAGAAACAGTTAAAGCTTGTAAAGATATAATTCTGGATTTAAAAGATACTTCAAACAATTCAGAAGAGCCTAAAAATGACATCAACAAGTGTTAAAAGATTCAAGTCTTCACAAAAATATTATGGGCAACTCGTGTTAGGACCTCCAGGTGCGGGAAAAACTACATACTGTGGCAAAATGTATGACCTTCTGAAAAAGCTTGGAAGAAATGTGGTGATAGTTAACTTAGATCCTGCAAATGATACTATGTGTTACAAACCAGATATTGATATAAGAAACTTAATTGTGCTTGAAGAAGTTATGTCCCAACATAACCTTGGGCCAAACGGGGCTCTGCTGTATTGCATGGAATATTTAGAAAAAAATATAGATTGGTTGTTTGCTCAATTAAACAGTGATAATTACACAAATTACATATTTGACTTGCCTGGCCAAGTGGAACTTTACTGTCACCACAAGAGCTTAAGTAATATATTTACTTCTCTTAACAATAATGGTAATATTCAGTTATGTGTGGTACACTTGGTAGATTCACATCATTGTTCTGATGCTGGTAAATTTATAGCAGCTTTGATGTTATCATTAAATGCTATGCTAAAAATTGGATTGCCTCACATTAATATACTAACAAAAGCAGATTTGTTAAAGAAACATTTAGACAGATTACAGTTTGGTATAGATTTTTACACTGAAGTATTAGATTTAAATTATTTACTTGACTGTCTTGACACAGCCAAATTTACCAGCAGATATAAAAAGTTAAACAGTGCCTTAGTATCTATCATTGAAGATTACAGCTTAGTTTCATTTCAACTTGTTGACCTAAGGAAAGAAGAGAGTTTACTAAATGTACAAAAATTAGTAGATAAATCAAGTGGATATGTTTTCAAAGCTGAAGAGGGGCGTCATATCAATAGTATGTTGGCATGTGCAATGGGAGTCGGAGAACCAGTTTCTTATGATGAATAAAATATGATTAGAAATCTATATGCATTGTCATTTATATCCAAACTGGCAATTGGAAGTTTCAAGATTTTTTTTTGCTTAATAACTAATTATGTTTACTATTCCATGTCTGTTTAGAACTATTTTTTAAATCAATATTCAACACAATATCCACAACCAGGAAAAGAGTTTTATTATCAGTCAGAAAACAGGCACCACACTTAGGTTTTGTTTTTTAAAATAACTTTTACTTAAATTGGTTATAATCAATTTATTATTGTCTTTATTTCATTAAATATACACATAAATTACATTTTTAAATATATTTATATACAAAAACAAAATACATTTAGAAATATAAAAATAGTGTCCCATCGGTATCGGGTACATGGACCAAGATATCGGTGGTTAGGACTCCAGAGACAGAAACTTCCTTACAATATGTGCCGTATCGAGAACTGCTTTCTGCATCAGGCCCTTAATCCAACTGCCTAACGCGAGCCTCTGAAGATGTTGGTCGAGGCTCTTAGCAACTAATCCATGAGCCGATATGACTATCGGTACAACTATTGCCGAATCAACATGCCACATGTCGACAATCTCGTGGGCCAAATCCAAATACTTTACTTGTTTATCTTTTTCAGCTTTTAAGAGATTGTCGTCATGTGGAATGGTAATGTTAACAATCATTGCTCGGCCCTCTAATCGGTCTATTACCACTATATCAGCTTTATTTACAACAATAGTCCTGTCAGTGATAATAGGACGATCCCAGTACAACGTTGCACGACCATTTTCAAGAACTGGGTCGGCACAAATGTGTAGTACGGTAACTCTACAGTTACAAGGTTATACTTGAAAGCAAGTTGCTGATGGACTATACTGGCCACTTGGTTATGTCTATGCAAGTACTCGCCGTTTGCAAGACGAGAACAACCGGCAATTATATGTCTGAGGCCATTGATATAATACTTACATAGATGAGTAATTACCGCCTAAAATCGTTGCTACTGCACATCTGTCCACAGGCATATGCGTAGCAAACGTCAATTCAGTGTTCAATGTGGCGTCAACCGAGTTGAACATAGCGACACATGACAGTAACAATCGCCAAAATGGGTAAATGCGTAGTGAAAGAATGCGATTCAAGGTCACAAAACCATAATAAATCATGCGGAATTACTTATCACGTGTAAGTTTATGGTTTTTGTATTGATAATATCGTAAATAAGGCTATAATTGAAATAAAACATTGATAATTGTAATTTCGAATCAGTGTTACCATTAAAAAATCATTTTTGTTTTCCCACATTAGTGGGAGAATTTATAATTTATGAAATAATATGCTTTATACTGTTTTTAAACATTTTGTCAATAATAATAAAATATAGGAAGAACGGTAGTTGTTAGGGCTGAATCGATCACTTTTTTTAGGGACTAGTTGAACGTTCAACTTCTGCCAAGCTCGCAGTGCTGGAGACTTTTGTATAAAAGAATTAATTAATTCATTCATTCATTTTTCTTAATTAATTATCAAATATATATGCACAAAAAAAATATATATATATATAAAATAAAAAAGTAAATTAATTTTTTTTTAATTTGTATTTTAAAATATTAAAAGAATTTGCAATACACCCTGGGGATTATTTATTATCAGTACAAGTTGATCATTCACTTTTACTATTAAATGCCATTATTTATACATAGGTAAAAATAAGATTGTATCATGAAAGTAAAATATTCACACAAACTTATAAAAAGAGTCTAAAAGACAATTGTATACAAAACTGATGCTTCATAGCGGAGTTTGATTTTACACTGAATATAAACCCTTTTAACCAAATATTTCTAGTTATTTTATTATTTATACCTATTCCATTCAATTCGAAATATATTATTTAAAATATTTAAATTAATTTATTTTATTACAAAATTGTTTTAAAAAAAAAATGTTTCTTGGTTGTTATGGGTAAAATTTCATACGGTAGTCAACACTGGCCCACCATCGTAAAGTTATGTCTTTGTCTTTGTCTAATCCGAGCGATGGTATTGTTCTTGTCTCGCGTGTAAATGAGACATAAATATGTTTACTTTCAAATGTTTCGTGGTATCAAAGCTACGTCGTCAAAGTTCAAAAGTGGTTACACTTTTTTCGACGTGTGATAATGAGGTTTGCTTCTCTAGTGTTGTTTTAACTCAATGTCTGAGGCTTTCACCAGGACAATGACATGCCCGACAAATGTCAATTGTGCCGTCCTTCAGGATATACTTCCGATAATTGGCGGACTGGATGGCGTAGTGGTTTGTGTAACGGACTGCTATTCCAAAGGTCGCGGGTTCGATTCCCGCTCAAGTCAAACATTTGTGTGCATGAACATTTGATGTTTGATTTGGTCTGGGTGTTTCTATGTATCATATGTATGTATTTACAAAAAAAAAGTATATATGTATTTATATCAGTTGTCTAGTACCCATAGTACAAGCACTGCTTAGTTTGGGACTAGATGGCGTTGTGTGTATATGGTAGAATATATTATTAAAAAAAAAAAAAAAAAAAAAAAATTATTCGTCATAACAACTACATCAGTAATTGCAAAGACAAAACCTTCAGTTTCCCCGAAACGGTCACCGCAACGTAGCCAAAATACAGACGCTAGTTGGTCTACCTACCTCAGGCCTGTTCAAGGCCCGAATAAAACGACCATGCAGCTCTTTGCCCATCCATATCTCCTTACGATCAGTAATGTTAATTTATTACTAATCAATGTATTATTATTAGTAAGAGGCCACTGACACTTTCACTTACATAGGTATAACAGGTATGTAATCAAGTAAAAAGTAATACAGTGCAGTTCGTCATTCAGTAGGTATAACAAATTTGCAAAAACTGTTTGAACTGAATGAAAAAAAATTATACACCTAACTAATTAAATTGTGTCATTTATTCAAAACAGTTTCTGCAAAAGCTTAGTACCTATGTAAAAATGTGTCTGTTTGAATTGAGGAGCCAATTTTCATATCATAATGAAATTAATATTATTATTTAGTAGTAAATTTAATACAAAAGTTAGCCTTGATTCCTCACCCACCGGGGTTTGCGGAGGGGTGCTGTGTCGGAATCGGACCGACTAAAACCACACGGTGCGCCACACTGTGCCTGTAATAGGAGGGATCCGGGAACTGCTATTATTAAGACATCCAGACCCCTAGCGCCTGCCCGCAATGGCGCGGGTTCCATCCTCGGCTACATTCTCCATATAGGCGACGTCCGGCACACGCGGACGGCTGGCCGTTATGGCGGGTGGAGGGGAAAACCCGTCCCGTCCACCCGCGGCCTCACTCAGGGCGGCATAAGGTGGTGGTAAGCGCGCCTCCGCCGCCCGGTTTGACGGCGACGTATTGGGTTCGAGTGGAGTTTGTCCTCCCAGGCTCTCTCCGCCGCCTCCTTCTGCGACTTGACGTCATCGCAGAAGGTTGCGACCGCGGTGAAATGTCACTACAGTGTAAAGTGACAAATGTCACTACCGGCCATGGAACGTATGACGGCCGGTAGCGAGAGATCCCCTCCGATGACTGCAATGAAGACCCGGCGCTGCGGCGCCCAAGCTGGGCAAATTACCAGCGCGTGCTGAGCTGAGTCCTCACTGCCAGTCCAAGTATCATCCCAAAAAAGTAGAGCAGTGTCATCTGCAAAAGTGTAAATTTTAGTATGAGCAAGGTCCAGCTTACACAGTTCGTTTATATAGGTTAGAAAAAGAGTTGGACCTAATATACTCCCCTGTGGTACGCCAAAACAAACAAAAACACTTTTAACATTGCCAATCTTTAATAACTGGGTCCGGTTGCTTAAGTAGCTCTCAAATAATTTTTGCTGCGAACCCCTGATTCCTAATTTTTCCGGCTTCACCAAGATAATGGAACAGAGACTGTGTCGAATGCTTTGCTAAATCTAGAAATATTGCTATAGCCTTGTGCTTTTTGTCTTATTTCTTAACAACAAAATTAGTTAACTCATGAACTGCATCAGCTGTCGATCTTTTAGCCCGAAATCCATATTGTGCATTTGATAGTAAATTATTTTCTTCTAAATATTTAACAAATCTTCTATTTATCAACCGTTCCAAAATTGTCGATAATGTCGGTAGAATTGAAACAGGTCTATAATTATCGACACAGCCTCTATCCCCTTTACCCTTGTATACTGGATGAATTTGTGACTTTTTAATGCCGGGAAGACTCCAGTTGAAAAAGACAGATTAAAGATGTGTGTAATAGTAATGTCAAAATGTCCTTATATGACTTTAGAATATTTGCTGAAATCATATCTAATCCAACCGCACAATCACTTTTGAGTTTTTTTTATTTCTGTATTAAAATAAGAGTTTAGACACGGGTTAGGATTCACCAAATTGGTGTCATATGAACCAGCAACTATTTTTTCAGCTAAAACTCTCGTTTACGTCTCCAATGCATTACCTGTACTTACTAGTTCGTGAGGCGAATCTTTTTTTTGGTTGTGTTTGTAAATTTCTTAAACGGTTTTCCGTAATTTTTTGTTATCAGTTTTAGAATTTTGAATTTTTTGCTTTTCATAATTACTTTTAAGTTTTTTAAAGATTAAAGTGCAATGACAGTTATATCTTTTATACGTAATTCTTATTATTTATAAAGATAAAGATTACCCCTATTTCTAATACATTTTAACATGCCTGGTGTCATCCATGGTTTCAATAATCGTTTGCGGCGAGTAATTTTAGTAGATTTAGTGTTGCTATAAGTATGTTGACAAAACAATTGGTCGCAAGTTTACATCGTCACAACTGTAAATCGGACTAAAATTCACAAGCTTGATCGTTTTGTCTAATTGTAGAACATCTAGACGGTCAATAAATTTGGCTGGTTTAACCATTAAGGTTGAAGAGACAAAAAGTGCTATACTTTCATGATTGGTTAAGGACGTTGGAAGTACCAGGCATTTTACAGATAATTTCGTCCTAAGCTGGAGATGATCTTAACAGGTT